CCCCCCAATCCCCCCCGCCAGCCCCGCTTCCTCCCCCCCCATCTGAGATCAAGTGTGTCCGGTATTTTTGTTGAAACCATCTGGCAACCCTACGTGGAATAGCTATTTTGGGACACCTCTGGTATCCGGTACCTCTGCTATCATGAAATAGTGCTGCAGTGCAGATGTAGCTGGAGAGAGCCGGTCTGAGGGAAGCAGGGCACTGCACTAGGAATCAAGTGACTTGGATTCAATTCCCTGCTCAGACAGTCTCTTGTGACTTTGCAAATCACATAATCTATCCAGTGCCTTGGTCCCACGTCTGCAAACTGGGGATGGTTGTACTGTCCTCATTCACAGGGATAAAATCCATCAGTGACTGAAGCACTTTCCAGTGAAGGTGGCCATTGAACTACCTTCATGGCCTCGGCTTCTGTTATCCTCTCCTTCCTCCCCACCATTTTCTAGAGCTCTGTTGCTAAAGTCACCTTCCAGTCTCACTGCTTCATCTGGGTCACTCACCTCCTCCATTTCACTGGCTTCCCATCCCTTTCCCCATCCATGTCAAATGCCTTATTCTCAGCTCCAACGCAACCAATAGTATCAGCTGCAGCTGTCACTGAGTTCACATTTCCTCCTAGTTCCTACCCCCTCCTCTTCCCTTCCCTCAGTCCATCTTCTTCTCTGTCTTGGTTTACCCCCCTCTAGTCGTGCTGCCCTCCTAGCCCACCCATCTTCTTTTCCCACTCCTTTAAATTCTTCCTAAAAACTCACTTCCCCTCTGACATGCTTGTCCTCATGAGCAGTCTCTGCCTCTCTCTCCCTTGCTTTATTGTTGTCCCATATGTGACATTGCCTTTGGTTGTGTCATCTAGTTTGCTCTTTGGGAAAAGAGACCTGTCCAACAACTGGCCACAGGTGTCCTGACTCCCTGTCCCCTGCTCCAACCACTAGCCAATATATAGCTCATGAAATTTCACTACAAGGGATTATAAAATCATAGAAATATAGGTGACATGGCTCTTTGAGAGGACATCTAGTGCAACCTCATGCACTGAGGCAGGACCAAGTAACCCTGCCCTGACAGGTGTTTGTCTAACCTGTTCTTTAAAAAACTCCTACTATGGGGATTCCACAACCTGCTCTAGAAGCCTATTCCAGTGCTTAACTACCTTCATAGTTAGGAAGTTCTCCCTGATAGCTAACCTAGCATCATTAGGTGTGCTATGGGGGGTTTACAGCTTCCTCTGAAGTATCAGGCACTGACTACTGTTGAAGACAGGAGACCAGGCAAGGTGGCCCAGTCAGGGCCACATTATGACTTTTGTGGGCCCTAGGCACTTTTGTCTTCGTGGGCCCCTCCCACCATAATAATATCCAGGGCTCGACAAATAATACAATCTACTCATCCGTGGCGAGTAGATTGCAACCCGGAAGAGCCGGGTTCGGGTGATTTGCGCACGCACAGATTGCTGGACAGTGCAGCTGGTGAGCGGGGCTCACCGCTGTTCGGCGAGCCCTGAAATATCAATATTAAAAATTATTTTTGATATAACTTTAAATACTTCAACATTTTATTTTTTTCGGTTTTAGGCAAAATGTAATAGATTTTCGTGGGCCCTAAAAGTTTCATTTTTTTCTGATGTGAGAAAAAAATTAAAACATTTTCTTCGACCCTAAAAGTTCATTTTTTTCTTCTGATTTTAAAAGAAATTAAAACATTTTCGTGGGCCCCTAAAAGTATTGTGGGCCCTAGGCACTGTGCCTACTGTGCCTACTGTGCCTAATGGATAAGTCAGCCCTGGGCCTAGTTGTCTATCCCTTTTGATATGACAGTTCCTGTTTGCTTATATCAACTCACGAGGAATAATGGTTTTTGGTGTAGTATTTACTGAGAGATGGGAATGGTGTTTTTTATTGCTGGCTGTGGGTGCATGATGTCAGCCAAGTCAGGGCACCTCAGCATGGCTGTTTCTTTATATATTAATTGAAGCTAATTCTATATACCTCAGGGGTCTTATGAGGCTAAAAAAATCCCCTCAGCAGATCATGCTGAGCCCCTAGGAGGGGAGTGCAAAGTATTATCGGTAGTGCTACAAATCCAGCACTGTACAGTCTCTAACACAGCAGGGCCAGGGACATGGAGCAGTCCAGCAGGATGTTTGGAAAACCCTGGATGAGCCTAACAAATTTGCCATTTGCCATAAGAAATGCTACCATAAGAATTTCTATCAGGAAATGGAAAGTTGTGTGCTGTGCGTGCGTAGTTTCAAGGCCCCATGCTGCTGGTCCATGCAGGCTGTTCATTGCAGCCTACATCAGTCTGCTTTGGTTGCCAACAGGCAACCGTTTCTGCAATCTGCAACAATGGAGGCTGCTGACGTCTGAAAATAAGGAGGCAAAGTGACACACAAAGCACTGCTCAGAGCCAATTTAAAGCAGAGAGGAAGGATCAGACGGCATCTGACTCAGACCCGGATAGGCAACGCCTCCCCCGCCTAGGCTGAGGCGCCTCCACTGCTGAGCAGACAGTGGGTGGAACTCCAATTATATATCCGCATGTGCAAGGTTGAAAGCAAAGCCGCGTGGGCCGCTTCCATTACACACAGGCAAATTGAACGGAATGACAATATTGTCATTTCACTTACTGCTGGCATATTGGATCAATCCCCAGTTGATTTAATCTGTATCCTTATCAGGGGCATAGTGAGGGAAAGATTTATCCCAGAGGCAATGGGCCAGCACAAGGCCTGTGTCCCACACGGTGCCTGGAGTGTGACTTACCTGTCATTGTTGCATTGGCTTTCTGCATGGAGTGGAATTTTACCCTTCCCGAATAATATGCCAATTTCTATGCTGATTTATATTGGTAGGCAAACTCTCTGCTACTGGTAGTGTAGACCAGTGTTTCTCAACCAGTGAAACAAGTACCCTTAGGGGTACTCAAGAGAAGTCTGGGGGGTACGTCAACACAACTGAAATTTGGAGAAAAACTGATTTTTTTTTAAATTTTTACAGTGTTTTATTATTTTTGTACTTTTTACACCCAAAAATTTAATTGTCCACCTGGCTACGATTAAGTTGTTTGAACAGATGTGTTGCAATGGTAGAAAAAAATTGTGTGTCTGAAAACTGTAGGTATTGGGGGTACTTTTTTTTTAAGGGGTACTTGATAAAAAAAAAAAAGGTTGAGAAACACTGGTGTAGACAAACCCTTAACATTGAATGTAGCTCAATAGGTCCTAAATGTTTATTAGAAATTTTGACCACACATACTTATGTAACCTAGAGACACCTTGAAACCACTCTCAAAAGAGAGCGAAATTTGCTCTGCAGCCTTAGCTAAGAGCCAGGGGCCTTTTAGCTCATGCTATAGAGGGACATGACTTTAGCCACCATAGTCACAGGTTCGATCCCACCTCTTGAAATCCTAGGTCCATTGGCTTTACACTCGATAGCGAATGTTTCTTTCACTGCGTAAGGCGGGGTTTGACCCCGATTAAGGCTACAAGCAAAAACATACAAGTGCTTTTCTTTCCCAATATTTAATCACTGGGAAGTGGTGGCCATTTTAATGATTAATTATCAGTTGTATTTGTTTGTATCCCACTAATAATTACATGCTCCAAACAAGATAGCGCTGCATTGTGCCAGGAGCCGTACAAATAGCTAGAACAGGAAAACAAAGTGAGGCCGCAAGGAAACATTATTTTCATTCCCAGGAGACTGATTTGCCCAGATCACAGTGGATGGAACACAGATCTCCTGAGTCCCAGGCCTGTGCCAACCCTGTTTTTTTTCACTCAGCACTAAAAACGAGCACATTGAATTTTACCAACATTTCTCTACATCAGTTCAGCCCAGGATGCAATTTTCCTCCCAGAATGTTGTCATAGGGTAGCCACTGGTGCATCCCAGAATCCAGCACATCCCCTTGTTTGTCTGCACACCCCCAGTGTGACTCTGTTCCAGCATGCATGACTTCACTCACTGCAGGAGCAGAGTGGCTCACTCTACAGAGCAGTGTCCTCTGTGTGTGATATCAGTTCAATATCAATACTGGGTCAGGGGACAAGCCCCAGAAAAAAACAGAGGGTCTGGCTGAAAATTGGACAAATGGCTTGCCTGTGTGCAGTTGCCAACCGTCTAATCGCACCAACCCAAATGCCCTTGCTCTGTCCCCTGCCTTGCCTCTTCCTCAATGCTCTGCCCCTTCTCTGAGGCCCCACCCCCTCACTCCCTTCTCTCCCTCTGCCACTTGCTCTCCCCCCGTGCTAACTTTCATCCAGCTGCGGCAGAGGTAATGGGGGACCGTGCGGGCTGTGGGCCGTGGAGTTGAGCTGAGGGATTTGCAGTGTGGGAGGGGGCTTCAGGTTGAGCCTGGGGCAGGGGGTTGGGGTGCAGGAGGAATCTGGGGTGTGGGATCTGGGAGGGAGTTTCTGTGTGATATGGGGCTCAGGGCTGGGACCAGGGGATTGGGTGCAGAAGCGGGTGAGGGTTGGGGCTCCAGCAGTGTGCTCCTGGGGATTTGTGTAGTATCTGGGAGCTGAACTTTACATTTCTTGGGGAGAAGGGGTGGCCAGGGCCCCAAAAGGTCTTGTGGTGAGAAGCACTTGCAGAACCTGCTGTTAACAGCTGTTTGTTCTTCCAGGGGCCTTCTTGATTCCTTATTTTCTGACCCTGGTGTTTGCTGGGATTCCTCTTTTCCTGCTGGAGACAGCTCTTGGCCAGTATACCTCTGTTGGCGGATTGGGGGTCTGGAAATTAGCACCCATGTTCAAAGGTACTGTACTTACGTCCATAGTGCTGAGGCCGTATATCTAGCTTTAGGGCTGAAACCATGTACTGAAAGGGGAAATGAAACCTCAAGGACAGGTACATAAACCTTTGGGGGAAGGGTGACAAGTCCTTGGAGACTGTTATATTTGGTCTGTCTTTGAAAGGTCCCCTTCACCATAGTATCTAGGCATCTGTAACACTCCAGCTCTCTGACTGAATGACCTTTAGCAGTAACAAAATGCTCCGGTAGATAACACTGCCTTTAGGGGGGCCAACGACTGGTCTGAGCCACCTGGTACATCATTCCTGTATTTAATATGAGATGCAGTGAATTGGTGGGAAGGGCTGTGCTGCTCTGTACCAGCAGAACCCTGTTTATGTTACACTAGAAGTTGAGCTCTCTACCAGTTGGGTGCGAACCTCTTGTTTTTGTAATAACTACATATTAGAGGCCAGTGATGAATTAGAAAAATTAGAAATCTTTTTACTGAGAGGCTAATTCAATGTACAGAAGCAGGTGGGGACATGGCTGGTTCCCACTCTTTTTTAGTGTTCATAGAGCTCCACACATTACAATTCTGCTAGCAGCAGATTGAAAGACAACAGCATTCAGTCTTTGAAACATGGCACCAGGGCCGGTCCTAACCAATTGGCGGCCCTGGGCAACCACCCAGCTTGCCCGTAGGTGCAAAAAAAATACTGGAAAAATTTGTCAAGCAATAAAAAAGGGTGAATAACCGGGGAGAGGATTCAGGAGGTTGGGCCAAAATGTGGTTGCAGTCACAGCCTGCCTCTAAGACGGGCTCTGTCGGTGGTCCCTTGAAAATGGCAGCCCCGGGCAACCACCCGGCCCGCCCCTAAGACCAGCTCTGCATGGCACCATGACATTCGAACAAGCCTTCCCTAGCTGATCAGTGAACTTGAGGACTGTGCACTGTCACTTACTGATATCTGTGAGATGATTCACTTTTCCTAGGTGTACAAACCTTTGCCTCACCTCTGTGCAGTCACTTCCCAACTTGCTGTCCCCACTTCATCACAAGAGGCTTGTGTCCCCCAGCTCAATACAATTTCATAGACTTTGGATGGCTTGTGTTGATCATGCTCTGTGTCGTCTCTCCTAGGAGTGGGTCTGGCGGCTGTAGTTCTCTCATTCTGGCTAAATATCTATTACATTGTCATCATTGCCTGGGCACTATATTATCTCTTCAACTCTTTCACTGCGGTAAGTTTCAGCCTATTCTATAAACTTAATTGGCTCTGTGTACTTTTGTTGCTTCTGTGTCTTTTGTGAAAAGTGGAGCTAGACATATTACTTACCGGCTGTGTCTAGACTGCAAGTTATTCCACAAAATCATCTGATTTTGCGGAAAAACTTGCCAGCTGTCTACACTGGCCGCCAGTGTAAACAGCACAGTGGTGTTTTCCGCAAAAAAGCCCCGATCGCGAAAATGGCGATCAGGGCTTTTTGCGGAAAACCGCGTCTAGATTGGCCACAGACGCTTTTCTGCCAAAAGTGCTTTTACGGAAAAGCATCCTGCCAATCTAGTTTTCCGTTAAAAGCATTTTCGGAAATTCATGCCAGTCTAGACATAGCCACCCTGTGTGCCATAAAATATACAACATACAGCTTATTGATTGTACAATGGGACTCAATTAATGTTGCAGTTAGATCCAACACTGAGATGTCCTATAACATCAAGTGTTTTGCATTACTGTGTGTTGATATTTTTCTTTTAGGGGATATGTTCTCTTTATAAATCTTACAAATCTGTCCCTCTGCCCTATGTCCTTTTACATTCTCCTTTCTGTCTATCATATTCACAGAGCCCCAGTCACGGTTATAGTGATGTGTTCCAAAAATGGCTTCTTCGTAAGATTGTCTCGTTACCATGGGCTTGGTTGTGAACTCAGTTAGACCCCATTTACACTACCCCCACTCCAGTGATTACAGTGGAAACATGCTTAAGGGGGTACTTACGTCCACCTCCAAAAGATAACATTTAAGTATATAACTTATAGCATATGCTTACGTCCCATTAATTGCAATGGCATGCTTCCTTGAACTAGGGTTTTGTGCCTGTATATATGAGATCAGAACTGAGCCTCAGGTTTGAAGTGTATTTCTTTGCAACCAAACCATTCTTACAAAACTAATGGCTTGGAAGAGCCCCTTAGCAATCCATGGACATAAAGATATCTAATTCCATGGATCT